GAATGTGAGAAAAGAGAATCAACAATGACTCTAAGGTTTGTGGCCTGAACAAATAAATAATAAAATTGTAAATGAGAAGAGAAGGTAGGAGAGGGATACAAAGAGTAGGTTGCCTGATGAAATGCAGGACACCCAGTTAAAGATGAATCTCAGATAAACAACAAATAATCTTTTTTGGTTCAAGCCTCTCCCATGTACTATCTGCAATTCAAATTTAACTTCCTCCCTCTCCACATCTGGTTTGATGGGGGGTTGGAGGGGTGCTGTGTTTGCTTGTTGCTTGTTTTGCTTTATTCCTAAATCTGGCAGTCCTAACAAGTAAGGACATGATAAGTTTGCAGTATCTCAGGGACATCCATTAGGGAGAGGTCAAAGAGCAGCTACATACATGAGTCCAGGGTTCAGGATATTGGCCTGGGCTGCAGATGAGGATTTAGGAGTTGTCAGCCTAATTTTGACATTTTAACCCTGAGACCAGATGACTTTACCAAGAGAGCAAGTGAGGACAGATAAGGGAAGACGGAAGACCGGGCCCGGGGCACAAATATTGAGAAGTCAGGGCAATGTGGAGGAACAAGCAAAGGAGACTGACAAAGAAAAGCCAGAGAGGGAGGAGCAAGGGCGGGAGAGAGCACGACGCTCTGGGAGTGCAGGGAAGGACAGGGGGCGAGACCTGACCCTGCGGCTTGGCTCTGGGAACTGCGGCAAGAGCTGGAACAGGGGGAGCAAAAGGCCGGTGAGGGTAAGGTCAAGAGCAGAGAGATAGGAAGAGTGGAGGTCGTGAACCAAGGCACCTCTTTTGAGGCATTTTGCTACAAAGGAATGGAAAGAAATGAGGCAAATGCAGGAAGACATGGGGTCGAGGGAGGCTTGTTTGTTTTTAAAGATGGAGAAGTAGCAGCATATTTATTGTAATGGGAAAGACCCCATAAAGGTCAAATGGGTGATGATGGAGGAGAAAGAGAGGATCTGGAGTGCGGTCCTGGCTCGGCGGGAAGGGTGGATTCAGCACACATGTGGAATGGCTGATCCTGACAGCAGCTCTGAAGAGTCCTTATTACCCTCTAAAGATAAAGTTCTGCAGACAGAAGCTCCAAATAACTCTGGGTGGCAGGGGCAACATTCTAGCCTGGGTCCTGGAAGGAACATCTCTCCCTCCCTTCCCACAGCCCCAGACATGGTGAGACAGGGCTGGAAAGCCCACATCCTTCCACCAGCCCTGCTTTCCAGTGGGTTCACCTGCCGCACCTCTTTGTTCAAGGGAGGAGAGAACCTTCAAGTCCAGGTGAGGGTTCAGGCCCCCTGCACACACATTCAAACACAAGGAAAATCCCAGCTGGAGAGGGACAGCCCTGCCCCTTCCCAGGAAGGCCCTGCCTGAGGCTGGGGCAGAGCTTCAGACACAGGCGGTGCCCTCAGAGAGAGCAAGACCAGCCTGGGCCAAGGCCTGAGATGGAAAAGGTACAGTGGCAGGTAGGGCCTGCCACCCACCAGAGAGCAGGTGTAGGCCCTAAGGGGAGTGGAGGTAGCCAGGGCAGCTGCCAATCCCTGGTGCAACAGAGCCTTGCCCTAGGCAAAAGGGTGGCCTAGATGGCCTCCCACACATTCCCCTGCTCAGGGAACAGAACTTGAAGAGTGGGACAGCAGGGCCTTGAGGTCCTCAGAGCCTCTCTCTGTAATGGGAACTTTTCTAGCTCACTCCAGAAAAAGCAAAGGGCTGTTGTTGGGGGCACTGCCTAATGTCAGGAGTGAGGGCAGCATCGGGCAGGGTCAGAATAAGAAGACCTAGGCAATAAAATCACCTGGACACCAGAGCAGAATAACACAGCAGCACAGAGACACCACCTCACATACCACACATGCACACAACATCCTACCAGCCACTTCCACAATCACATGCGTTCACAACCAAACACACCAAACATACGCACATACTACCCCCTTGACACACCACTACCCAATCTCACAAACAGTTCTCACACATAACCTATGTGCACCCAACATTTGCTTTACAAATTGTAACTGAGTGTCTGCTGCTTTCCAGGCCCTGGAGATGCAGCAGGAGTGTAACCAGCCAGCTCCCTGCTCTCCTGGAAATAATCTCAGAGACTATTCTAGAGCATGCCTACTGAGGAAGTGGGAGGTAGCTTCACATGGGGTGACCAGGGAGCAGCTCTCTAAGGTGAGACCTGAACAAGGAGGTGGAATCTCCCAGGAGAAGAGCAGTCAGGCAGAGGGAATAGCAAACGCAAAGGCCAAAAGGCTAGACTGAGCCTGGCTAGTTTGCGGAGCAGAAGGAAGGCCAGTGTGACTACAGAGTAGTGATCAAGAGGACGCGTGATAGGAGGTGAGGCAGGACTAGGTCTTCTGGGGCTTTGCTGGCCAAGTTAGGAGAGTGGGTGTTAATCTAAAGGTAATGGTTAGTCACACAAGATTTTAATAGGGGAATGACCTGATCTAATTTACATCATTAAACTATTACTTTAGCTAGAAGGCACCATGAGAGACAAACTTCTTTCAATTCTCAGAGTGGGGAAGGCGTTTCTAATTATGACCAACCCACAGGCCATAAAAGATAAAATTGATACATTTGGCTACATAAAATGTGTTTAATTCTGCATGGCAAAAACTCCATGTACAAAGTCAAAATACAAGTATCAAACTGGGGTTGATATCTTTTCTATTCATATCATAAACAGAGGGCTTATTTCTTTAATATATAAAGACCTCCTAAGAAATCAATAATTAAAAAGGCAACCATCCAATAGAAAAATAGGCAAAGGCAAAGGACAGTTCACAGAAAAAGAAATCCAAGTATTTAAAAGTATATGAAAGGTTCTCAAGTATATGAAAGGATGCTCATTTTCACTCGTAAGAAAAGAAATGCAAAATAAAAGGATAATGAGATACCACTGTCAAAGTTTATACGGTTGGATAATGCTCTACATCAGCAAGGTATGGGGAAACAAGCGCCGTCATGTCTGATGGTAATGTAAACTGACGTATGGAAGGGATTTGGCATTACCTGTCAAAATTTTAAATGAGCATATAACTTTAACCCCAAAATTCCACTTCCAGGAATATATCCTACAAACATAATAAAAAATGTGTTAAATGGTGTTTGTCCCAGGATATTTATTGCAATGGTGTTTACAATAGAAAGAAATACAAGATTGGAAACAGCCTTAATTTTCACCAATATGGGACTGAATAATGTACTATATAGTACATATACTATTAAGATTTTTTTTTTAAAGAGACAGCTTTATATCTACTGATGGGGAAAATAGAATATTACTTACCTTTTTTTTTTTAAAGAATGACATAGCTCTGTATCTACAGATAAAGGAAAATGTCCTATTATTGTTAGATGAAAATAGCAAATTCAGAACCATGTACATAGCATACCCTCACAGGGTAAATGTGAAAAGAAGAACATCTCAATAGTCAGAGATGCACAGCTGATCTCAGGAAGGAAGACAAGCAACTGGAGTCTGGTGGGTGGGGGGGCAGCCCTGGTCACACAGTCTGGCATTGAAGGAGAAGTCAGGAGTAGCGCTAGAAATGTGGGACTGACTCATTGCAATGCACCATATTGAAGCCCCAGGACTGGATGAGTTCATCAGGAGAGAAGTGGCTGGGCTCTGTGACATGCCACACTGGAGACTGGGATGTGAGGTCTCCGAGGCACAAGGAAACCAGGAATATGGTGTGAAGGCAGCCAAAGCAAGAAAGTATTTTGAGGAGGAAGCAGTGGTCAGCTGTGTCAGGTGCTTCTGAAGGTCCAGGAGGATGGGGACAGAGACGTGACTGTCAACTTTAGTATAATGGAGATACTGATGACCTTGACAGGGACATGGTAAGGAAAGAAACATGGCTCGAATGGATTGATGAGTGACTGGGGGAGCAGGTTTTGCTCTGAATACAGCAGAGCAACAGGTGGTAGGGAGCCAAGGGCAGTCGCGGACTCCCCACAGGGCACCGTCCTGCTCCCATATCTACCCACACCCACACATGCACAAAACCATCCAGACCACCCAAGTCCCATCTCAGATCTTCATGGGCCATGATGCAGTGAGTAAAAGATGGCCTCTGCCCTGTAGAGGTCCCCTGTAGTCCCCCGGACACTGACCAGAAATTCAAGCTGGCTGAGGCCTCCAGAGCTGGCTCTGCTGCTTATTCTCTGTGTGACCTTGGACAAGTCACCCAACCTCTCTGTGCCTCAGCTTTCTCATTCATACAAGCAGGAAGGATCATACCTTCATGATCTGGTGCTGTGAGAATGAAATAAAGCCTGCAGGACAGTGCCTCGCACAGTGCCTGAGCCCCCAGTGCAGTGCCGAGTAGTAGGTAGGGTGACTGTGTAGGTGATCTCCAGGAGTTTGTGGGCACTTTTGAGAGTAAAAGGGGGTGCTGTTTATTACACCAGGGCCAGTGGGATGTATAGTCACCGTTGTGTTAGCAGCAGCATCTCTGTTCAGACAGTGAGGGCTCTGGCCCTTAGGGTGACTCAGATCCCAGGACTCCCAGGAGGCAGGAAACCCTGGGGTTTCCCTGACAAGGCTGGGAAGATTCCACTGGAAGATAAGACAAGACAAAGCCTCTTTGTCCCCAGAGCCCGGCCCAGCCCAGGCGCCGCCTCCCTCAACAGGGTGTCCAGGGCTCCCTGCTATGCCTTCCACGCCCCGCCAAGGGATCTGCCCCCTGCAATAACTCAGCAATTCCAGGCACCCACCTCTCCTGATCCTGCCCTCAGGCCTGTACAAAGGTTCCCCGTCTCTTTTCCAGACACAGGATTCGCTGTGCCCCTTTCCTCTGTGGGCACAGAGAGCACCCCTCGCCCCGGTTCTCCAACGTGCACGGTCCTCATTCGAGGACACAGCCTGAGCCAGGCACCACCCCCGAGGACCGACCCCAAGAGGGCAGACCCCCAAAGCGCCCCACGCAGGGTTGAGCCCGGGCGCAGGCGCGGCAGCCGCGTGGGCCAGTCATGACTGCAGTCCTTTCGGGGCCACGACACTTCACAGTTGAGAGTGCTTCATGCCCCTCATCTCATCGGAGCCTTTGCAACAGCTCTGCCCATGGCCACCGACGCCCCAGTTTCACACGTGAAAAAACCAGGCTCGGACAAGCGGCGAGCCGCTGCAAAGGCTGTGGCGGGAACGGTGGCGGCGGCGGAACTAGAACCCGACCCTCGGCGGCGGGCCGGCTCCTCCCCCGGCCCTCCCTCCTCCTCACCGCCCCCGGGGTGAGCCCTCCGCGCCCTCCTCGCAGCGTCTAGAGCCCCGGCTCCAGCCTCGCTCCCTCGGTTGCGAGCCTCCAGCACCCGAGGTCCCGGCCCCCCGCATGCTGCGCCGCTGCGGGTGAGTGCGGGACGGGACGGGACGAGACGGGACGGGTCCCCCGGGACGCTGAGCGCCCCCTGGCGACCGGGCCGGGCTTTAGCCTGACTGTCGGACCTAGCCGGGACGGGGGCGACGGGAAGGGCGCTGTAGAAGTCCCCTCTAGTCCCCACGCCCCACTGCCTTCTCACCCCTCTATTCTGAGCGGGATGGGGACTCCAGCTGCTGGAAGGTTCCTGGACGCCCCCCTCCCACGTTCGCAAGCTCCCAAGTTGCCTGAATGGAAGGAACTGGAGCAGGGCGGGACGAGGACGCGCAGGAAAGAAGGGCAGCTCTGTCCTGGGGTTGGGGGTCGGGGGGGAAGCTGCTTGGGAAAAGCGGACGGCTTGGAGCCGATGCTGGGGGCTGTAGGGGGAACCAGAACCGGCTCCACCAGTCCCAGCCTGGGCTTAGAGAGAAATTCTTTGCCCGTGAGTCGAGTCCCTGGGTGTGGTAGGCAGGGCAGGGCAGATAGGACTGGAAGGTGGAAGGTGGGGCCCAGGAGAGGGCTGCACCGGGTGGGCTGCCACGGGAGGGTGACAGGTGGAAGCAAAGGTCAGGTCCCCTCTCCTTCCAGGGCTGCCAGACGGGTCTCCACCTTACACTTCAGTTTTCCTGAACTCTCACCAGGTGAGTGGTGGGCTGGGGAGGAAATGGTCTCAGGATTCTTAGAACAGCTAAGAAAATAGGAAGGAATTCTTTCCGCTTAGAGATAAGGAAAGAAGGTCAAAAAGATTAGGGAACTGTTGAAAGTCATCCACCCAGTAAGTGACAGAGCTGAGGCTTGAGTGCAAATGTGACTTTCTGCTCGGTGCACATCCCACTGCCCCTCCCCAAAGGCCAGGTCTCAGAAGGAGCATAGTGGGGAAGAAGGGGGGAGTCTCGGGGATGGGTCTTCTTCAGTCACATTACACCACCCTGAGATTCCCCGAGAACAGGCATGGGGGGCTGAGATGCTAAGGAACTCCCCCTTCTCCAGAGCAGGGAGGTCTCTCCCCCAAGCTACCACACACCACAGCTCCTCCTTCCAAGCTGCCACCCTGAGAATTCAGAATTTATTTATTTAGCCAGCATTTATTGAGGACCTACTGTGTGCCGGGCAGTAGGCACTAAATATAAAGCAGTAAGCAAGAATTGATATTCTAGTGGGGAAAACAGACAATAAATCAGAAAAGCAAAAGAAAAATAGCAAAAATATACTTTAATTTCAAATGGTGGCTAAATGTTAGGAAGAAAATAAAGGGGACAGGAGCCGAGCAACTAGCAGATCCAAGGTAATCTGAGGAGACCTCTGAGGAGATGGTATTTGAGCAGAGGCTCCAGTGACGAGAAAAATCAAGAAAGAAGAGCATCCCTGGCAGCAGGAAAATTATAAAGCCTCATGGGCCCCAGGGCCAGAGCAGAGAGAGGTGGGGTGAGTGTAGAATCTGGGGGTTAATTTTAAGCATAATGAGAAGCTAGTCGAAAGTTTTAAACAAGGGAGTGACATGATCTGATTCAGTGGACTCCAGCAGTGCAGGAGCAAACACCGAAAGGCCATGGCAATAATAGCAGCCAGAGGGATGGTGTCCTGGCACAGAGTGGTGGCAGTGGAGGGGTGACAAGTGGTCATGCAGTGGGTGGACCACAGTTACCGTGCATGCTCCGAGTCACAAACCCCTCTCCAGGAGCTCTCACATGTGCATGCCAGCCCACACACACACCTGGAGAGGCTCAGGCTCCCACACCCATGGCAGCATGCCTCACCAGGGGCACTCAGGCAGACCCACCCATCCACATCCCCTGAGTCACCCCAGGACTGGAAGGAAGATGTGTGATCCTTGGGCCTGGACAAAGCATGTCTCCCCTCTACAAAGCCCTGGAATCCAGTATGGCTGGGGTGGCTGGGCTCCCTCTGGTTCTTGCACAGGGAAAGGTTTGTCTCCAGATATTCCCTGAATCTGGTGTCGTGGGAGCCAGATCATTATCACCCCCCCATGCACCCCTAACCTGAATCGGTCTCCCAACTTCACCTACTGACTGAGACATTGGGGCAGTTACTTCCCCTCTCCAAGCCTCAGTTTCCTCTCTGTAGAACAGGGCTTATAACCCCAGTCTCACAGGATGGTAGCAAAGCATCAACTAGGTAGGATATGAGAACCTGGTCTGGGCAGGCATCCAGCAGAGGAGAGGAGAGGAGGTGGTGGAGAGCAGAGTTCTGGCACTGACAGCCTGGCCTTGAGTCTAATTCCAGCTTTAAATGTGTGACTTGGCCTCCCTAGATTTCACAATGAGTGGCCAGCATTTATTGAGCACTTACTATGCACTAAGTAACCATTATCTTCATCTGTAAATGAGGTACCTAACAGTATCTACCTCATAGGGTCATTATAAGGATTAAATAAGATCCTGTACATAAAGTGGTTAGCTCTGTACCTGGCTCAGAGTAAATGCTGAATAAATGGTAATTCTTATTAGCAAATGCATATTCCCATCCTTCCAGCATACTAGCTCCGTGACTTTGGGCAGGTTACTTAACCTCTCTGTGCCTATAGTCTATCTGTAGTTTAGGAAGAATAACAGTCCAGATCTCACAGGGTCATTGTGATGATCAAACGAATCCCATCCACATAAAGAACTGAGAACAGTGCCTGGTACATAGTAAATGCTCGACAAACCTCATCTATTCATTAACATACAGTTTTTCCTATCATTGTGTCAGGTGGGTACAGCCCCCAGCACCCCCCCAACCAGAGGCACCATGGACTGGAAGACGCTCCAGGCCCTACTGAGCGGCGTGAACAAGTACTCCACAGCATTTGGCCGCATCTGGCTGTCGGTGGTGTTTGTCTTCCGCGTGCTGGTGTACGTGGTGGCCGCGGAGCGCGTTTGGGGGGACGAGCAGAAGGACTTTGACTGCAACACAAGGCAGCCGGGCTGCACCAATGTCTGCTACGACGAGTTCTTCCCTATTTCCAACATCCGCCTCTGGGCCCTGCAGCTCATCTTCGTCACGTGCCCCTCGCTGCTGGTCATCCTGCACGTGGCCTACCGTGAGGAGCGTGAGCGGCGGCACCGCCAGAAGCACGGTGACCAGTGTGCCAAGCTGTATGATAACGCAGGCAAGAAGCACGGCGGCCTGTGGTGGACCTACCTGTTCAGCCTCATCTTCAAGCTCCTCATCGAATTCCTCTTCCTCTACCTGCTTCACACTCTCTGGCACGGCTTCAGCATGCCACGCCTGGTGCAGTGCGCCAACGTGGCACCCTGCCCCAACGTCGTGGACTGCTACATCGCCCGGCCCACCGAGAAGAAGGTCTTCACCTACTTCATGGTGGGTGCCTCCGCCGTCTGCATTGTGCTCACCATCTGTGAGATCTGCTACCTCATCTTCCACCGGATTCTGCGGGGCCTGCACAGGAGCAGGGCCCCAGGGCACAGCAGCCTCCCAGCCTCCACCTGCCGCTGCCACCACAAGCTGGTGGAGCCTGGGGAGCTGGGCCTGCTCTCCCGCCATGACAAGCCACATGCTTCAGCACCCAACCTGACCCCCATTTGACCACAGGCTGGGGAGGGATGCTGGAGCCACCAGTGGGGACAGGCAAGGAGGTAATGTGCCGGCAGAGGGGTCCTGCAGGTGCTGGGTGCCCCCACCTTGAATTCACAAAGCTATCCAATTTCATTTTTGGCAGATATTGAGCGCCGGGCACTGTGCTGTTTACCTGGGTGTAGGTCACACCACAGGACCAGTGCCAGCCCTCAGGGGAGACAAACATTAAAACAAGCAAGTTAACGACTGTATCAAGGGGGCACAGGGGCTCATAGCAAGGCTTCTACCTAAAAGGGGTGATCAACATGGCTTCCTGGAGAAAGTATTGTTTAAGAGAGGTGAGAAGTGCTTCCTAGCAGAGGGAACGGCAGGTGGAGAGGCCAGAGACAACAAAAAGAGGGACTCACCCTGGCTTGGATGCACAAGAAGAAAGGGAATCTTCATTCCCTTGGGAGAAGCCCCCAGATTCCTGGGGTTAAGAGGAAGTACTCCCAGCAAAGAGTCTGGAGGCCTGAGAGTGTGCTTGGAAAGAGAAGGAGGAGCCTCTGGTGACACCAACCCCTCCTTGAGACACCCAGGGGTCCTCTGGGTCACCCCTGCCCTTGGGCAAGCCCTCCTCCCTCAAATCCTACTCCCCAGGCCTCAGACAGCTTTGCTCTAATAGTCCCCCTCACAAATGCGCTCAGTCTGGTGCAGCCTCTCAGGCCCTGCCCCGGAACTCCCGGACTCTGGGACTCTGACTCAAGGTGTGCTGATAGGTACACCCCCAAGGCAGTTTCCTTGAATCAGTAAAGGCTGTGTTTTATACAGGCTGGCTCTGTCTTCTGTTCTCCCACACTCCCACCCATAAGACCCTGAGGGCAGGGAAGGTAGCCCTCAGACGGAAGAGAGCTCCATGCCCAGGGGTGAAGCCAGGGTGGGCTGTGGCAGAGGCTGGAGCTGAAGTTAGTCTGGGGCTGGGGTTCACATGTTGGGGATCTGGTGTGGAACCGGATAGACATGTTGTGATTAAAGATGTCACAAGAGGGCGCTGTGCTCCCTTACAACAGCACTGCTAGTGTACAGTGAGACCCCTTGATTGAGCATATCCAGTCACTGCTCTCACAGGCAAACCCCTCCCTCCTCCTCTGTAACCCAGTGGCTGCCACCAACTACCCCATCCCTAACCTGTGTACACAAAATCCCTGTTATTCATACTCTCACTCCTTACATATGCTCACAACAGGCCAGCTGTCTCCTCTACAGGCACGCAGACCTGGCCTCACCCAAGCACTAGTCAGCTCCTTCCACTTTTCCTGAGCATCCTCTCCATACCAGGCGGCAGGCTGAGGCTGCATAGCAGAGTAGGAGCTGAGCCCAAGAAGCTCAGAGTCTGGGGGAGACAGAAACACATTCATCCCCTACACTAATCAACCACTGCGGTGCTCAGAGCCCCTCTCTCTCCCAGCATTGTGTGGTGACCTGAAATTTAGGGGGCACCAACATCCAAGCTAGACAGAAATGGAAAGCAAAAGGCTATACTAACCCAGAGGAGCATTTAGTGCCCAACAAAGCCAAGACCAGGAGGCAGTGAGCCAAGAGCCCATGCAGGGAGAAGTTGGGTCATTGTGTCCACAGAACAGGCTGTGGTTCACCTGAGCTCTCACGTGTGGCCGTTAGTGGGTTGGACACACCAGCCAAGTTGAACGGGGCCAGGGCTGGGATGACACACCCACCCCCAAGGTCTGAGTCATAACTTAACCACTTCATGATCACAGTTTCACCGCCCTGCACCTTGGGCAAGCTTTCAGAAACTGCTCTTGTCATCAGTAAAATGTGACAGTATCAGTCAGGATCCCAACAGGAAATAGCACATTCAAACCAAGTAATTGTAAAGTTTCCTTGAAGGACTGTTTTAAAAGATATGGGCAAGATTAAGGAAACCCACAGAAAGGATATGGTACCCCAGTGCCAGTGGCTCCCACTGACCCAACCCAACCAGAAGCCAGTGGGCAAGAGAACCTACTGAGGCGGTCAGTACAGGCCTTAGCCTCCCAGGGCACAGACCTGAGGGACAAGAGGGACCTGTGGCAGAGGCTGGAGCTGAAATTTAGGGGACACCAACATCCAAGTTAGACAGAAATGGAAAGCAAAAGGGGGTGCAAGGCTATACTAACCCAGAGGAGCATTTAGTGCCCATCAAAGCCAAGGCCAGTAGCTCAGGGCAGGAGCTACTCCTAGGATTGTAGGGAGAAAAGGAGACACTGTAGTAACATTAGGTGTGGAACCGGATGTGCCCAGGAAATATAATGTGCGGCCATACTTAGGAAGGTCTCTGCCTGCTGCCCAGGCCACATCATATGTCAGTTCCAGCTTGGACTGGATGGTTGTAAAGGTCTCAGGGAGGGGTGATCTCCACCTGCTTGATGCCATGCATTCCAGCATCTCCCAGATCAATTCCACTGCCTGGCTGAGGATAGTTGGAGGTTAAAGCAACCAGAGAACATCATTGGCTCTCCCAGCATGAGCAGAGATGCCGGTCCTGGCCCCTTCTCCAGGCTGTGGGTCCAGATCATGGATGAGGGACTGTTCCAGCCCTGCGTGTTCTGTCTTTGGCCTGAGAGCTGTTTCAAGCAGTGCAGCTCATTCATCTCACCCAGTAAGTGCTCAGCTACTTGTTCACCACTCAGGGTCCCCAGCACACATCACTGTCACCACAAGGTGGCTCTCATGTCTTCTGGCCTTCTCAGGGTACATACCTCTGTGAGGCAAAAAAATAAGACATGAGCAGGTGGAAGGAGAATAAAGCCAGTGAAGCCCACTAAAAGGGACTCATAGTTAACCAGATAGAACCAGAGAGCCTGAAAGGACTCACAGAGTTAATGAGTTAATCAGGTGAAGCTCCAAAGGCCAGGAGCAACTTGGAATGTCCTGATACTCCTCAGATAAAGGTATCGAGAGCAGCCAATGACTTCACTGTACCAGTTAGATCACACCATTGTAAAATCTACTTAGCCCGCAAAAAGCTTATTCTTTAACTTAATCTATATGCCATTCTTCTTCTTCTTCCAGCCCCTTAAGTAACTTTGTAACCCAGGCAGGAGACAGACCTCTGAAGGGCAAATAAACCTATGTGGACAAAGAATGCTGAAGTCCAAACCAACACAGTCACCTAAATAACCCCATTCTTAAGACAAAACTTCAAAGGAATTATGAATCACCTGTATACACATCCATGCCTTATGCTGACTCCTACCCAAAAAGCCCTGTAAAACCCCAGACCATACACCCTTAAGTGCACCTTCTCTGGGAGATAGCCCACGCTCACCTTTCTTCAACCGTGTCACTCTCTCTGTCCTACTTCAGATAAGTAGGGAGGGGCTGCTGAGAGCTGATTTTGGCTTACAAATTCCCATCACCTGGGTGACCCACAAGGAACTGCAGCTGTAAGATCATGCTCTTAAGCAGCCTGCCTGAAAATCTCCTTTCTTTGCCTTTGGGAAGTTCTCAGAACATAATCTCATTCCATCCAGTGCTCTGTGGCTCCCCCAAATCCTAGGGAGGTAGGGACTCCGTTCCCACACCATGCAGATTCAAGTGGACATTGGATTCCAGGTGACCCCAGCTTTAGAAGTTGGCAGGGGATTTGCCCAATGCTAAGCAGCTGTTCAATAAGCTTCCCTTTCCTCTCTCTCTGCTTTATTCAGGTAAACCTGCCTTTGTCTACCTTGACTCTTGCCTGCTTCTCCCGTGGAGTGCATTCAAATAAAACTTTCATACTGCTTGGCTACTGTGTCTCTGCCCTTCAATTCTTTGTTGCAGTGGGAACAATAACCAAAGAGAACAAACTCAACCCCCAACACCTCCATCTCCTCCTCCACATAAGAACTCACTGCAAGCTCCCTTCATAGGCACATGATAGATTTAGATTTCATATACACAGCCTTCAAGTCCGCACTGCATGATTTTACAACCACCCTGCAGCCCGAGGTAAACAGATTATCCCCGTTATGGACTGAATGTGTCCCACCAAATTCATATGTTGAAATTCTAACTTCCGATGTAATGGTGTAAGGAAGGGGGCCTTTGGGACGTGACTAGATCCCAAGGGTGGAGCCCTCACGAATGGGATTAGTGCCCATGTAAGACACACAAGAGGAATGATTTTCTCCACTGTGAGAAAACAATGAGAAGACAGCCCTCTGTAAAGCAGAAAGAGGGGCTTCACCAAGAACCCAGCCACACTGGCACCCTGATCTTGAACTTCCAACCTCCAGAAGTCATCTCTCACCTGGAGTACGCAACAATCTCCCTGCTTCCTGCTCCAATTCCAGATGGCAAATGCTGAGGAAGAGCCACAGTCACAAGAGCAGAGGGTGTGCGGGGAGGCGACATCCACTGTGGGAGGAGCTGGGCTACCTGCACGACCTGAAGGGGCTACCAGCTGGGGGCCATCAGCTGACCAAACTCCACACAGCTGGGAGGTGAGCCCAGAGGGAAGGGGGATGTCTGTGTCCCCCACCCACCCCACAGTCTATTCCTCACACAGCAGCTACAGCAGCTATAAAACCTCAGTCAGGTCATGTCACTCTGCTGCCCAAAACCCCCAAAGCCATCCTACACAGACCTTCAGGGGCCTACAAGACCTGCCCCACCCACACCCCACCTGTTCCCTTTCTGAACTCACCTCTTCTCCTTGCTCACCTCACACCATGCACTCTGACCTCCCTCACCCAGCATTCGGGGCCTTTGCATTGTTACCTCTGCCTCAATGGCTCTTCTGCCGGAGAGGCAGCTGCTTAGGGAGAATCTCTTCTCTCTCATATTCAAAATTGAAACCACCACACTGCACTACACCCCCCCACCCTCCTTTCCTACTTCACTTCCCACATAGCATTGATCACAGCAATGCCCAACAGGTTCTGCAGTTTGTCTGTCCCCAGTTAGAATGTGAAATCCACACAGACAGGGACTGTCGTGGTTGGTCCCCGGTTGGTCTCCAGAGCCCAGGACAGTGCCACAGCACGGGGGGTGCTCAGTGAAAATGTGTTAAATTAGTAAGTGCATAGCTGGGCCTGGTGCCCAGCTAGGTGCTGGGGATGTAAACAAGAGCCAGCTGCCTGCCCTCAAGGGGCTCACAGTCTAATGGAGGAGGAACTAAAGATAAGCAAGCAATGCAGGGGGCGAGAAAAGGGGAATTTACTTAAGAGTTTGTTTTGCAAGATGAGAATGTTCTGGAGATCTTTTGCACAACAACATAAATGTACTTAACACTACTAAATGGTCACTTAAAAGTGGTTAAGATGGTAAATTTTATGTGTATTTTACCACAATTAAAAATAATTTTTTTTAAATGCATCCAGGGCCAGTACCAGGACCTCTGAGAGCACAAGGCACATCTAACCTAGTGGAAGCCAGCAAGGGGACTGCTGGGAGAAGGCAGCCAGGGGCAAGTCCTGAAGGCCTCATAGGGGTCAGCATGTGAGGGTGCTCCAGGCAGAGGGACCAGCATGGACAAAGGCAGGGTGTGCAGAGAACCACAGTAGTGAAGTAAGGCTGGGCCACAGAGTGATGGTAGGGGACGAGTGAGGCCAGAGAAGTGGCTGAGGCCTGAAGGCAGCGGGGAGCCAGAGAAGGATCTTAAGCAGGGCAGCACTGTGGTCAGATTGCTGGGGAAGGGTGGAGGCTGGGTTGGTGAGGGCAGGGCTGGAGGCCAGGAGATGGGCTGGGAGGCCGCTGAGAGGGTGGCCTAAATAGGGTCAGGGCAGCAGGAACTGAAGGAGGTGTGTGGAGTTCTAGGGCCATTCCCCAGGTGGGGCAGCCAGGTTGTGGGGATTATTGTTTTGGCTAATCCCAGCTTCTGGCTGCCCTCTGGGAAGGCGCTGGGTCATTCAAACCTTGACCTCCAGAGCCCCTGAGGAAGGGGTGAGAGCAGGGCGAGGCAGCCCTGATGTCCCTACTGGCTCCTCTCCCAGTCCCGTAGATGAGATACGGAAAGCCCTGGAGAGCGTGGGCCCAGCTGCAGGAGAGGCACTCAGAGCAGGGGTGGCTGCGGGGGTGTGGTAAGAACCGCCTCCAGGGACCTCCGTTCTCATGCCCTCAGGGGTCAGAACTACATGGTGCAATCGTCAGCTTTAAAAACCCAGGAGGCTGAGTTCAGCCTGGCCCTGAGAGACAGGCCTGGAAGGAGAAGCAGGCTCAGACGGACGCTGAAGTTCTGAAGCCCGAGCCAAGCCCGCTGCACTTGCTGCCCCAGAAGTCCTTCAGCTCTAGCTACAGGCAGGACCTGCGGGGACCCAGCCCGGGGCCCTGGGTGGCCAAGAACTGAATCCTGTTGTGGAGACACAGAGACCTTTCTGTCACCAGCCCCCACCTGCCACATCCTCTTTCCTTAGCTGTCCCCCGCCCCCGCCCACCACCACTCCACTCCTGAGCTTCCTCCCCCTCAGCCCTTTCTGCTCCCCCCAGGACCAACCCACAGATCATTTCTGTCACAATGTTTTTAGCTACCACACCCTTGCAAACTTCTGTGTACCAATATTATGCCATGTGCTTTATTTGCATCTCCCATCAACCCTACACAGTAGGAATTATTACTGTCCCCACCCTAGAGGAAGAAATCGAGGCACAAGTGTTTAAGCAACTTGCCTAAGGGCACAGGGGTCAGCAGCAAAGTCTTGGCTTCTACCACCAAGGCCAGGGAAGTCTCAGCACTCTGGGCACAGTGGCCAAGGCCTCAAGACCTTGAAGCCCCACATCTTGGGCCTTTGCTCATGCTGTTCCTTCTGCCTAGAATGCTTTTCCCCGGCCCATGACCCCAGCCCGGCTAATGCCGTCTCCTCCAGGAAATGTTCCTAACTGAGTCCCCAGTGACTTCTGTGCTTCTCAGGACAACTTTCCATATTGATCATTCCACTCTTACCCCGGCCCTCAACTCCTGCCTCCGGCGCCAGCCAGTGGGACCTGGAGGCAGGAGACCACATCTGGCTGTTTTATGGCTAAATCCCCTGCTCCATTTACAATGCCCGCAACTGCCCCTCATTCACGTTCCTCAACGGCAAGGCCTGAATGCACAACCGTGGGCTCTGCCCATCCCCTTTAATTCCTTTGGAAACCCCCTCCATCATTTAGAGGCCCGGGAAAGGGATTCAAGCTAAAGGTCCGGAGAAACCGATTATGTAGCCTGCCCAGGAGTCGGGACTTCAGCTCCACCGCAGACGCTAGGACTGGCAGATTATAACCCCTCTTTCCCATTGGTTCCCCAAGTCCTAATGAGCCTTGATTGCCAAATCCTGGCAGTGTGGGCGGACACACGGGCCACCAGATAGGACTGGTGTTCTCCTTCCCTCCCACCAAAGGCAACAGCCCCCCCCTCAGAGGCCCCCACACTCTCATGCCCATCTGCCTCACATCCCCTCAGAGCAGTTGCCTGAATTAGAAAATTCTTGCCGTAATCCTTTCAAATCCAGCCACCAAGAAAAAACTTCACGTTCAAGAATCCAGTGATTCTTGAATGTGAAGAAACACGCTCAGAGTTTACCAGCTGGAACCCCGCGGAGAGAGCCAAGAAGGGGCGGGGAGGGGGGACCGAGACCTACCCCCCAGCTCCTAGTGCCACCTCCGGGGCCCCTTCCCTGAGAGTCCTTTCAGGGAGTCGGCACTTTCCCCGTCCCCGCCCCGGCTTTGGAAAGCAATCCGCCGCCCTCGGTCGCGTTTCCTGCCCCCACCCCGCCCTCCGCGCTATTTAAGGCGCCCCCGCCGCCAGGCGCCGTCCAGGGCTCCCGCGGGCGCCGCTCCGGCCAGCGTGTCCCCACCGCCACCCGGGCCGCCCAACAGGCAGGCGGTGAGTTGGGCTGGGAGGGTCCAGGGCACCACCTGCCAGCGGGCGAGGGACTCATCTGCCACCTGCCAGGGGCTGAGGGTTGCTCGGGGCGCACCACAAGGGCCAGCTGCGCTCACCCAGCCTACCTGTGGCCCGGCTCTGCTCTGAGAGGTTCCTACTTTCTTTTTCGTTGTATCCTTAGAACCCTAGGAGGTAGGAATATTATTATTTCCATTTTACAGGAGAGAAAACTAAGGTGCTAAGGTCAACACTTACCTAGGATCCCAGGATTTGAACCCACGTCTAGTTCCAGAGCCTGGCTCTGAACAACTTTGCTCCTCCTCCCCAACCTTACTTCCCTGGCACCACCCTCCTCCACACCCTCCCCCAAGATGTTCTGGGAACTTTGCAGCCTGTGCCCTGCTGTGATGATTCCTTTCCAGAGTCTAGAATTTGGCAGCAACAGCTTTGGGGGGGAGGGGGTCCGAGATCCAGGTATGATACTTACTTGCAGGTGGTCACTATTGCTGACAGGTGGAGCTAATGCAGGATGCTACCTTTAGCATCTAACATCCCACCCACCACAAGCTCAAATGTCAGAGTGAGGCCAGCTGGGTGAGATAGGATGCAGAAGGGAGCAGGGACCTGAAGCTTTGGGCCACAGAAACTAAAGAAAGCACCCCCCTCACACACTGGGGACAGCCTGTCCTGGGCAAAGGGGAGGAGGGGCATGGCACAGCTGTGTGACCTTGGATAAGTGCCTCAAAGTCTCTGTTCCCATAGGCTCAGGAGTCATGAAAGGATCCAGATCTCCTTGGGCTGTGATCATACTGGGACTCCGACTGGGAACAAAAGAGGCACAGATGTGTAACTAGACAGGGACCCTAGCTGTACCCTTGCCAGAGCTTAGCAGCCATCATTCAAAGGTGTGCTCTTAGTCCCGACCACCCTGCCGGGTGTGAGCCCCTGGGGCCAGTCCATTCCCCTCCTGAGCCTCAGTTTCCTCTGGGTAAAATGGGCATGGCCAGCCTCCTTGCAGGCTGTTGCTAGGGCAGCTGAGGATGCCCACTGACAGTGTCCTCTGTCTCCCTGCAGACGGAGGCCCAGGAGCCATGGGTGACTGGGGCTTCCTGGAGAAGCTGCTGGATCAGGTCCAGGAGCACTCGACGGTGGTGGGCAAGATCTGGCTGACAGTGCTCTTCATCTTCCGCATCCTCATCCTGGGCCTGGCCGGCGAGTCAGTGTGGGGTGACGAGCAGTCAGATTTCGAGTGTAACACGGCCCAGCCGGGCTGTACCAACGTCTGCTATGACCAGGCCTTCCCCATCTCCCACATCCGCTACTGGGTGCTGCAGTTCCTGTTCGTCAGCACGCCCACCCTGGTCTACCTGGGCCATGTCATTTACCTGTCTCGGCGCGAGGAGCGGCTGCGGCAGAAGGAGGGGGAGCTGCGGGCACTGCCGGCCAAGGACCCACGTGTGGAGAGGGCGCTGGCAGCTGTAGAACGTCAGATGGCCAAGATCTCAGTGGCAGAGGATGGTCGCCTGAGGATCCGTGGGGCGCTGATGGGCACCTATGTGGCCAGCGTGCTCTGCAAGAGCGTGCTAGAGGCAGGTTTCCTGTATGGCCAGTGGCGTCTCTACGGCTGGACCATGGAGCCTTTGTTTGTGTGCAAGCGCCCCCCGTGCCCCTACCTGGTAGACTGCTTCGTCTCACGCCCGACGGAGAAGACCATCTTCATCATCTTCATGCTGGTGGTTGGACTCATCTCCCTGGTGCTCAACCTGCTGGAGCTGGTGCACCTGCTGTGCCGCCGCCTCAGCCGAGGGATGAGGGCCCAGCAGGGCCAGGACACACCCCCAGCCCAGAGTGCCTCCTCCCAGCCTTATGCCGACCAGGTCTTCTTCTACCTCCCCATGGGCGAGGGGCCCTCGTCCCCGCCATGCCCCACCTACAATGGGCTCTCATCCAGTGAGCAGAACTGGGCCAATCTAACCACAGAGGAGAGGCTGGCTGCTTCCAGGCCCCCCCTCTTCCTGGACCCACCCCCAGAGAGTGGCCAAAAATCCCCCAGTCGCCCCAGCAGCTCTGCTTCCAAGAAGCAGTATGTGTAGGAGGCTGGGGCTTATGTCACCCAACAGAGGGGCCCCAGGGAGTATGTCTGCCCGGGATGCCCCCTCCTTGAAGACTCTGCGGAGATGATGGGGGCTGGGGGAAGTAGGTGCTTCTTGGCCAGAGGACTGTTCTTGAACACCGGGGGCCTTCCTGGTGACCAGAGAGCACCATGGTCTTCCCTCCAGAACTTGGATTTGCCCAGGGACAGCCAGCCAGCTTGGGGTGCTTTTGCCCAAGGGTGCTGTGGGCCACCATCTGTTTCAGAGGGACCCAAAGCCAGTTTACCCCCACTCTCGCCATCAGACTGCTCAAGGCTGCTGGGTCAGCCTGGATGACACACACATACACACACACACACACACACACACACACACACACAGCCTGTGCTGGGTCTAGCCCTGTCAAGGGGACTGTGTCTTGGTCTCATCACTCCTTCCCAGTTCTGCTGTTTATGCTTCTAAAATAAACAGGACTTGATCACAAGCTAGGTGTGTACTGATGCTATTGTGATGTCCCTTGGGCAGGGATGGGGGCAGGGTTGTTTTTCCCAGGCTTCTTTTTCTTTTGGGTCCTGCATAATCTGTCTCTGGCCTCTCCAACCCCAACTCCAGCCAGTACCTTAAACCCTCAGACTCCTGCACCCTGCCTCTCAGCAGCCCAGAGTCCTAAACATGCAGCCTTTCAACATGCCTCAGGCACCAATCTCTCCTTCCATCCCACACTACCCCAGCCCCTGTGACATGCCTGTTACTCAGTGGCCAAAGCAGTGCTGGGCCCCATCCTGCTGCATGGCCATCAGTGCCCCGCCCGGGCTGCCCCCTGCAGCATGCTCCCTTACTGGACACCACTCCCCAAGCAGGCCTGCCCCATCATCCTTCATGGTCCAGTTCAAATGGACCCTACACCCCATCCCGCTGCATCCTGGACCCCTTGGCATTTGGGGAGGCAGGCTTAGGTCACTTGGCCCTTCCTAGTCTGCCCACCAAAAGTAACATCTCCCTGTGCACCTAAAACTCACTCGGTGAGAGAGACAATGGCAGTACAGAGAGGTGGAAAGAACTACGGAAGGACCAAGTCTTGCCTCCGAGTCACAAAGATTGCAGGAAAAAAATTGAGCGATTGAACTGGATCTTGACAGGTGAACAGGAGTTCACTGGGGAGGGGAAGAGGGGTACTGGAGCCAAGGAAACTGTGCAAAGGCATGGAGGAGGGGAAGGGGCGGGAGGTCCGGGGGGGGTGCTCGGGCCCTGATGAGCGCCCTAGGATGTGGGCGGGATGACTGAGGGTAAGCCCAGTGCTGGCAGGGCTGACCTTCCATGGAAGGGGACCCAGTGGTGGAGAGCACTCGGGGAGTGGCCCTCAGAGGCAAGCTGGGGGTCCTCCCCTAACCAGGGAGATCTGGGGCTGGGGTTGGAGAAGGGATTGCCGTCCATCATACATGGTCACATGCTTCTCCTTGAAAGCCCTTACAGCAGCTTGGCAACTTGGCCCCATCGCATCCACATAGATCTCCAAAACACCAGCTCTGCATCTCTCACCCCAGAACTAACTACTTACCCTGCAAGTCTGAATGCTCAGCCTGATCTGTCACAGCCCTCTCGCTCCTCTAGCTTTAGTTCCTGGGGTTCTCTCTGAATCCCTAAGATCCCGTAGGATTTAGGGCTAGGGTTAGCCTCCTCACAGCTCCCCAGACTCCCCAGCATGTTCCCACCCTGCTCCTTTGCCAGCCTGGAGTATCCTTACCCCACACTTCCAAGCCCCACCCATCTTTCAATCACTACTATACCCTGGAAAAGGCAGAGCCTGAGTACAAAAGAATAAGATGAGCTTTGACACCAGAGGGTCCCCAGTTTAAATGCTGCCTCTAACATGTACAAAGCTATGTCATCTGAAAGCAATCATTTCCCTTCTGAGTCTCAGTTGTCTCTTCTCTAAAATGCAGTTAACATCACTGCCTCACAGAGGACAAGAAATAAAACTAAGAGTAAGTATATGTAATTGTAGATTAATGATACCAAAAAATTTTTTTAATGTTAAACCATGAAAAAAAAAAGAGAGAGAGAAAGTATGTGTGTGCCTGGCTCCTAGTATTCATGTAGTAAATTCAGCTCACCCTCTCCAGCAAGGCTGGCATAGGTCCTTCTTCCTCCAGGAAACCCTCCCTGACTTCTCCAGCTGGTCTCCAATGGTGATCTCTACCTCTCAGGAATCTGGACCACTGCTTAGTATGAGACTTTTTCATCTCCCCAGCGAGTCTCTGAGGATCACCAGGGAGACACCTTTATTCCCCATTCACTTTGGCTATGAAATGAGTGATTGAGTTAGGCTGGGCCGGAAGGAGGCTGTTCACACATTGGAAAGGCGTGATCTGGTAGTCTGAGGTCCTCTTCCAAGGGATTCTCCGCCAACCAGGGTGAGAGGCCAGATCTGCAGGTTAGAGGTTGGTCTCTTACAGCCAACCTGAGGGTTCTAGGAATCTATGTTTCTGCTAGGTATTCCCTACCTGTCCTTGCCTGGAAAGGTAAGAGAAACTAGATCTAGGTGAGTAAGGAGAGTATCCTCCCTCCCCCGCAAAGCTCACCCACTCTGAGCTTGGTGTTGGGTCTGGGGTCAGCCAGGGTCCAGGGACTTGGGCCTCTGGCGAGGCTGAGGCTGGGTCTTAAACTGGTAGCCACACAACTGAAGGACTGGAGGCTTAAGGGTGAGGAGAGTGTAGTGGGGGTAGGACCACAAAGAATGGGATGGGGACAGTGCGGGAGGGTGAGGACTTAGGCAGAATGGCTGAAAACTCCATCCCACCTACGGCTGTCATAACAAAGTACCACAGGCTGGGTGGCTTTGATGACAGAAATGCATCGTCTCCCAGTCCTGGAGGCTCTAAGTCCTGAGCTCATGGTGTCAGCAGGGTGGGTTCCTTCCAAGGTCTGTGAGGGAACATCTGCCCGAGGCCTCTCTCCCGGCTTCCGGTGGGTCACTGGCCACCTTTGGCGTTGCTGGGCTAATAGGAGCATCACCCCATCTCTGCCTTCATCTTCCCAGGGCTCTCTCCCTGTGGGTGTGTCTGTCTGCGTCCACATCTTTTCTTTCTATGAGGATGCCAGCCATATCAGATTAGGACTACTCTAATGACTTGATTTTAACTGTAAAGAGCCTATTTCCAAATAAGGTCACATTCTAAGGTACTAGGGGCGAGGACTTCAGCATATCTTTTTTGCAGGGCACACAATTCAACCCACTCTACCACCCAACCAGCCCCCTCACCTCCTCACACTGGTTGGGGGAGGCCAAGGAGAACATTAAGTCTATTCTGGACTTGAGCATCTCCTTGGTGATGTGGCCTGGATGGAACACAGCAGATTACATCTCATGTCTTCCTCCCCCTATTCCTTACCACCTCCAAAATCTGACTGGGCAACAGGCCACTCTCAGTAACAGAAAGAGCTATAAGAGGCTTGGCTCCTGCTTCCAACCTGTCACACTCCCTTAACTATAGTCCCTTCCCTCCTCTGAGCCTCTATTTCCCCATTGTGAAATGAAAGGGTTGAATGAGAAACAGGTATATAGCAATTAGGTAGGAGGAGCATTGCAGAGAATAAGTTGTCACAAATCATTGGTCTGAAGCTCCTGAGTGATGTGCTATTTCTCATCCATCAGAATGGATTCAAGTTTATTTCTACACTAAGAGCAGTTCCAGTTACTTGAATTCACATTGCCTTCCTGTGCAGGAAAGAAAGGGATGGGGTCATGTGGAGTGCACTGGGAATTTTGCATAGCCCAAGGTCATCGTATCTGTGACCCACGAGAGCATGTGAATGTCATGGGCTGTGCTGACAGGCTGGGTGATGTCAAAACCTCTTCCCAATCTAACGTGCTGGCTCACTGACCTCTGGGTTGCTGATCTCATGATTCTACCACCAGCCTCCAGTGCCTTGACTGGGGATCCTTCATTTCCTTTTCCATGACCCCTGACATTTGCAGGAAGAGGTATCCGTCATAGGATTGTTGGAACTTCTTTCTCTAACTTACACCTTCTCCCACCAGCTGCTGCTCTGACCCGAAGGGCCACATGAGGCTCAACTCTTCTGCCCTTCCCATACAAGCCCTGCAGTCACAGGCAGAGCCACTAGGCCTGTCCTGAGCCTGCTCTTCTCCTGTTCCTCCAGCTGGCTGATTTCCAGAGGTCTCTGGCCAACCTGAAGTTTGTCTGCTCTCCTCTTAACATGTGCCACTTCCCCCTGGGTACCAGACATGATACTCCAGGTGGTCGGAATCTAGGTTATCACCTCTCTTGCCTCAAAACCTCTACCTTTATTAATGTAACCTAGGATTACATTAACTTTTCTATTTTCTTCTCTTTTCCATAAATACAATTTTTTTGGATTATAAAGGTCATGTAGAATCATTGTAGACAATGAGATTCCCACCATCCAGGGGTAACAACCGTTAATATTCAGAAGTCATTGCTTCCAGCCTCTACCATGCATATTTTTAATTAACTCTGAGTAAAAGTATACATACAATTTTGTATTCTGCTTTTTTCATTTTACATTAAATCATGAGCCTTTTCCCCATGTCATCAAGTATCTTTGGAAACACCACTTAATGGTTTTGTCATATGGCTTTATCAGTATCCACTTAGCCATGACCCTGATACTGGATTTGTAGATTCTTTGCAGCTAATTATCTTCTGTTATAAATTCTACTGTGATGTAGATGCCTGTACATAAATGTCTTCCAGTTTGTCTATTTCCTTAAAAGAAAGGCCTTCCAAGAAGTGAAATTACTGGGTCAAAAGGTATGAAATTTTAAATTTTAAAAAAGTTGGGGACTTTTTTCTGATTGTGAAAGTAATTCATTGTGAATGATTCAGAAATGCAGGAAAGTGCAAGCAAATTACAAGAAGTGAAGGCACTAATTACCTCTGCGAGTGGAAGAGAAAGCAGAGCTGGCAACAGGAGAGCTGACTGAAGATATTAGGGCATAGGTGCCCTCCTCCATTCTGAGCAGCTAGGTGGCTACCCTTCTCCCACCCTGTGGAAGGACAAAACTGATCCCCTGGAGACATGGATGGGGCAACACCTCGCAGAGTAGTGAGTGGGTGTACCGTAAAGAACAGAGGAACCAAGTGGAAGTTTACAAACTGAATAGCAAGATACTCAGCCTTTTCCCCACAGTTTGCCCCCAGAATGCTAGTTGATAGATAGGGCTATAAAAAGAAGATCTGATCTAGACTGTAGGCTGTGGAAGGCTGCCTCGAGGAGGTGAACTTCAGCACCTGAGAGGTGGGGAGGAATGCTTCAGGAAAGAGTACCCCAGGCAGAGGGAACAGTGTCCTCCAAGGCTCTCAAGAGGAAGAAAGGGGCTCCAGGGGTTCAGGATTAATTTTGATATGAAATGTAGGTTTCTTTCCAGAAAAAAGTGACTTATATGTTCAATAGCATCATATGAAAAGGCCCATTTCAAGGCATCCACATTAGTGCAAT